TCCTGTAGGTGGAATATGGGATCTTAGGTACTGGGATCTTAGGTGCATGGAGTGTCTACGGGAGTGTCCATTTCATTACAACTCACTGCATAGTTTCCAGGTTGTCTTAGTCATTTTTTTCCATCGCTGAGACATAATACCTGACAGACACCCACAAATACAGGAGGAGAGATTCATCTTGGCTTGCAGTTTCAGAAGTTTCACTCCATGCTTGGCAGGCTCAAACACAGAAATGGCATGGCGGAAGAGGAAATCTGCGGTGTTTTAGCAGCCAGGAAGCAGAGAGAGGAAGAAGGAATTGGGGAAGGTGATAGACCTGTTCAGGTCACACCCCTATTGACCCAGCCCCAGCCAGGCCTCTTCCAAAAGCTCCACCTCTGAACACATGAGGCTTTGGGGGGACATTCTCAATCTAAACCATAGCACAGGTTCCTAGATTTTTTTCCTATCTGATAGCAAAAAACAATTCTAGTGAAATTTCTTTTTTAGTGGATGAGGCAGGGTCTCCCTGTGTAGTCCAGGCTGGCCTTGAACTCATTAATGTAGCCCAGGTTGGCCTTGAACTTGCAGCAATCCTCCTGTCTCAGCCCCCCAAATGCAGGATTACAGGAATTTTCCCCCCTGCTCAGTCTTTCTAGTGAAGTTTTTACTTGCCTTTCTCTTACACGTTAGGTTGGATTGTACAGTCTAACATCTCTTTACCTTTAAATTCTGAGGCAGCAGAGAAGGTTGGGATGTGGTACTGGCAATATCAGTCACCATATTTCTAAATTTTTTGGCTGTTGTTTTCGATAGTATGTATGTGTGTATTACATATATGTTGTAGTACATTCTTTTTATGTCAGAATAAAATATTTTGTAAGTAACCTTTTAGGTTAGCACAATGTTATGAAAGGGTTCTGTACTACCCTTCACTAAACCTAGAGTGGCACGAAATGTCTCCCTCCATTTTCATGGTGGTAACACTAATCAGTTTCAGGTAGAAGCATTGTCCCAACCTACTTCTCACTGCTTTAAAGTCTAAAGAATTTTTTGAAACAAACTTTTGTCCTTTTATCATGATCTTTTTAGGTTTTGTTTTGGTACCGAGAATCGAACTCAGGACCTTGAGCTTTCCAGGCAGGCACTGTATCACTGAGCCATATCCCTGGCCCTATCATGATCTTTTTAAATACTCATTTTTTTTTCCTTCAGGCTCTTGTATTAAGGTAAACTGATGCTTCCATTTTTCAGTTAAAGCTATTATTATTTGAGTCATACTTTGATATTTTTACCTTATCTATATATTGTAACCTCTCTTTTCTTCATTTTAAATCAGAGTTTTTCCAAAGAGAAACCAAAAAGAAAAGTATAACTACTTCAGCTTGAAGATTGTTGTTGCTTATCAATAAAATGTCAAAATGAGTTTTGGTGAAATGGTTTCAGTTATGTAGTAAAAATTTTTTTTATGTGGCATTTAGATCTGAGAAGCAAGCCTTATTTGGGTTTTCTGTGTGTTAGATCTATTTGTCACAGAACAGGAAGAAGTGTTTAAAGTTTATAATAAAAGATAAAGAGTAGATTCATATGAGTAAGAGGTTTCTGAGAAGAGTAAGTTTGGGGTCAGTTTTTGAAAGTAGTAGTAAATGTGGATTGATAGGGAAAAAAGCTTTTCTGGACTAACAGATTGGTTTATTTTTCAAAAAGTATACAAAATATTAAACTATAGAAGAAAATTGAGAATAGTAGGTTTCCTGCCATTTAAAGATTTAGAAACATATTTGGCAATAAAGCATGGTTTCCTGTCTTTAATAGCATGATGTCGGGCGTGGTGGCACACATCTGTAATCACCTGTAATCCCAGCACTGTGATACATAAGCGAGTTCAAAGGCAGTCTGGACTACATACTGAGACCTTCCCTGTCTCCAAAAAAAAAGAGAAAGCATGAGAGGTGATGAGAAAACTCTACAAAATATACTCTGAAAAATCTACAGGAAGTGAGACAATCAGAATTGTTGTCTTTAACAGTAAGAAGAAACTTCTTTGAATTCTTAGAATGCCAGGTTCTACTCAAAAGTTATGAAAATACTTAACCTGTGGGTTCTTACAAAAATGTTTAAAGATTTTTAATTTCATATAATACAAGTATATGTAGTTGTTAAATAGTATTTGTAGTTTTATCATACATCATTCATTACTACAAGTGCTTTACAGACTAACTTATTAAATCCTCATAATGACCTTAAATGTTTTTTATGTTTTAGTAAGAGGATAGCTTAAATGTATTTGCTAAATGCTCATTTTTTCCACTTGCTGGATAATTAACAAAGGTACGTTAGTCAGCAAACTTTATTTAATTTGGCCTGAAGCTTTTCTTCAGTGCTCTGAAGAAAACCTTTGCTTATGCAAAGCACGTGATCTATAAACATTAAACTTTTAACCTCAAATTTTTTAATGAAAATTCTACACTGCTCAGTAGTTTCAATAAAATAATATTTTTTTGTTTTTATCTTTGTTCAAATTAATTACTGTGCACTTTTGACAGCATGTGGATTTGAAAATATATTTGGAATAATTATCTATAAGCAGCATACATGTTTATTTTTAGGGGATTTTGTTCTTGTGCCTACTACAAGTGTGGGGAGGTAAAAGAAAGCTAGCTAGGGCCAGGGATATAGCTCAATGGCACAGCGCCTGCCTGGCAAGTACAAGGATGTGAGTTTGATTCCTGGTACCAAAAAAAAAGGAAGAAAGTAAGCTATCTCACATCAGTAAGGAAAGTGCTTTTACTCCTTTCAAAGTATTTTCTACCTTTATTATGAGATTATTTTTTTCCTGTTGGGTTTCTCTATGTGAGGTAATCTTTCAATTGCTTTAGTTTTAGGTACTGAGATACAGCTTTTGCTATATCTTTGCCTTACAATTCTCTCATATTGACAGGAAAAATTATACTAAGTTATCTTTATGGTACATTTACTACATGTAATAATACTGAGTTTCAGGTAGACCTGAAACTTTATTCAAATAGGGTTCTTATTGGATCTACCTACTTATTGTACCCTGTCTTCCACATTCTGCAAGGTAAGCTAATACTGCGTGTTACCTATAAACTATTTTTAAATCATCTAAAGGATGATGTAGCAGAAAATAAAGTTTACTTTTCATTTCACCTTGGTGGAATTGGGATGGATTGTGATTTTGAGTATCTTTTAGAAATTATGCTGTATCTGTATTTATCTGTATTATTTGGAAGATACAGAGAAAAGTCACTTTTGTAGATTTTGTTTTTCACATTTGAATTAAACCTAATAGGCATATCTATAGTGTTACCCTTCCTAGACACTCATGTATGTATAAACATATGTATTTGTATTTGCTGATTAAGGAAACTTGGATTCTGTTTCCAGCTGTGTTATCAACTGCTGACTACACATTATTAGAGCTCACCTGTTTGGCATTCACTAAGACAAGATAGAGGGCAAAAAAGTATTGTGAGTCAATACTAAGGGCTTTAATACAAAACAGCTGGTGATGGCATAGTGCGTGACCATGAAGTGAGAAGACAGAAGAAACATGGTATGTTCTGCCTAGAGATAAAACAGGCAAATCGGGTGAAGGGAGTTTTACCAAGCACACTTTGGTATATTAGTTGGTCATGTCATATGGACATATAGCCTTGATAGGGTGTAGAGATTGTCCAGAAGCTGGAGTAATATTTTTTTCTGTTATACATAACCCAGCATACCCTGGACCAATGAGGAGTATTTAATTCCATGGATGCTTTAGAACAATTTTAAGAATAATTTTATTTAAATGGGTATTCCTGAAATTAAATATAGAACATTGAATTTTGACACATATTCTGTCCTTCCCACCTGTTCTGTCATTTATTTCTCACCCACACTTTGCCAACATTCTTTTCATGGAGCTTCAGTTTTCTTTTTAGTTCTCTTGTCTATCAAAGTGTTTCTTATGTATGGCATTATATAGTTCTACAGCCATAGATAAGAATGGCTCTGTAGGTCTTTATAACCCATGGAAAATAGGTTAGTGAGTAGCTGGATGCAAAGAAGCTGGATCAGACTTGTTCTAACGTTGCTACCCTGTAACATGCTCACAAAGAAAGGGTGCTGTCAAATGGAGTAGACTCGACCTATATTTTCTAATCTTCTTAGATTAAAACTCGAATATTGCTGTTCTTTTCTTTCTTATGGTTGGGAGCTTATCCTTTAGACCCAGCATTGGTTCTACCTTACCCCTTTCTAGCTCTTGTTTGAATTTCAGAAAGAAGTATTCACTGTTCTTTGACTAAAGTCCAAAGAGAGAAACACTGTAGAGGAAGCATTCCTCCAATCAGTTTCTTTGTGGATCTGGTAGTTTTGCAGTTCTTTGGACACTGAAAAGTACTCATTTGCTTCTTTGGATTTTTCTCAGTTTCTACTTCTGACTTCGTATGTTCAATGACCCTGAGATTCAAGCTACTGTTGTCATTTGATTTTCCCTATATAGTGTCTTTAATATGGCATCCCTTGACTCATCTCCTATTATAGTTTGATGAAAGGTTTAATACTGTTCTAGCCAGTTTTTCATACAATGGACAAAATAATTTTTTTAAAGATTTTTTTTTTTTTCAGAGCAAGTTTAGGTACACAGGACAATTAAGAGAAGATACCAGAATTTTCCATGTACTTCCCACCCTGGCATAGTCTCCTCATTATCAACATCTCTCACCAGAGTGATCACTCCTTTAAACCATCCTTTGAAGAAGCCATGCTGAGTGGAAAACAACTGTGGGCTATGTATTGACGGTTTTGCCTAGAGCTATCTAATGTCTCCATTTACTCTTGTCATTTTAAAGTGGGTTAGGGGAATTTCAAATACAGAAATTAGCAGGCAGACTTACAGCTATAATTTTGGTGAATAATCCAAAAAAGAAGTTACCAGATAATTTTTCTTACCAAAGGATAGTATCTTTTGTAAATTTTGGTTTTGATGTCAGTCTTTTTATTTTTTTCCTCAGTTGCTCTAGGTCGTAACCAGCCTTTGAAGAAGGAGAAACCAAAATGGAAAAGCGATTATCCAATGACAGATGGACAGCTGCGCAGCAAGAGGGATGAATTTTGGGACACTGCACCAGCTTTTGAAGGCCGTAAAGAGATCTGGGATGCCTTGAAGGCTGCTGCACATGCTTTTGAGAGCAATGATCATGAACTGGCACAGGCAATCATTGATGGTGCAAACATAACATTGCCACACGGTAGGTTTGGGGTTCCTCAAGGACAAAGCTAACATAATCTACTTGATATTAATAGCTGAAAACTAAATGGAGCAAATAGCAAATCTTTTTTCTTGCTATGTGTTTTTGTAGTTTTTTTAATGTAGCAAAGACTAGTATTCTATTTTTGTGTATATTTCATCTGGAGATAGTGTTTATATTTGGATGTTGTTATAGTATTTCTTAAGTCGTAGAAAATGATGTGTTTTCTAGCTTCCATGTAACCTAATTCTCTGTAAAGACCTCTTCTCCATCCCTACCCCACCCCAAGTCCCTATCCCTTGGCCCATCCATAAGAACCTCTGCTTCACTGCTCCCTTAGCAGTACTAAAGATAGTCTCAATTTAGATTTCCTGAAATGTAAAGATTCATTCAATGTCCCTTGAGTCATCATATTTTCTCATTAAGCCTATTTTTAACACAATGTAAAAAACTAAACTTAGAAGTGAGTCCAGTGTGTTCATAAGGATAGTTTTCTATGATTGCAACCCTGAGCATTATGAGAAACCTCTTTCCTTTGCTTAGGAATGGGACTCCCATGATGACTGTAAGCTTTAACTGTTTCTAGAGACACACACATGCTAGATCCATGCATGTCTTGGTTACTTTTCTCTCGTTGCTGAGAAAAAATACCTGATGCCCACAATTAAGGAAGGAAAGGTCTGTTTAGCTCACAGTCTGTGGAGGTTTCAGACCATACTCAGCTGGCTCCAAGACAGGGTGGCACTTGGCAGAGGGCAACAGTTAATGGTGGTGGAAGATAGCAAAAACAACAAGAGCAAAAAGAGAGGAGTGGCAGAGAGCAAGGCTCTTTCCTTCCCTTACATTGTATGTAAACTACCTGCCCCAGGGCAAATGTAGCACTCATACCCATAATTCCAGTATTGGACCATGGATCAATCATAGACTCAAAAAGTCCGCCCCATGGTTGCATGAGGCTTTGCGAGGGACATTCAGACACAAACCCTAACAATGCATATACCCTTATTTGGTCTTCTGACCAGAAGTATTAAAAATGTTAATGTTGGGCAGGGTATCTGGCTCAGTGGTAGAGCTCTTGCCTTGCACGCACAAGGCCTTGGGTCTGATCCCCAGCACCACACACACAAAAAAGACCATTCATGTTTTACAGAGATATTTATTTTGTTTTTATAATCTTTGTCCTTTTGATTTCTATATTAATACATTTATTTTTCTTTTTAGTTTTTCAAGTTAATATTCTTCTGGGTTGTCTCTACAGACTCATAATAGATAACCACCTAAATTTCTTTTTTTTTCCTACTCATTATTACCTACTTCATTGTTTTTCCCCACTTCTCTTTATTTGTCTACATTCCTAGGGGCACTGTGCTTTTCATATTTAACCATCTGCTTTATATTCGTCAACTCTGCGTTGAATACTTAACTCACTCTCCTTGTCAGATTTCCGTATCTCCATTAATTTTCTAATTAAATGTGCTTCCTAGAAACATTCTTTTTTATGACTGTCTGTTCATTGTAAAATCTTACTAATAGGAGTTTGTGTTGCTAACATTTATTGAGTACCCACTGACCGTCTTTTCTACACATATGTAAAAAATGATCATTTCTGTATTTGAAGTATTTATAGTAGAATGTAATTTTAGTGTGACTGTTTAGTCCCAGTTTTCAGAGATAGTCTAAGTTTTTACTTCTGTGATTAGGGATTAGGAGGAGGTAGACATTGTACCCTGTTTACTTTTTCAGTCCTATAATTATTATTTTCAGCTACTCCTTTTATATAATATTTAGTGAAGGGCTTGATCTATAATTGGTTTTTTCTCTTTTTGATGCTTATATTCTATATTTTCCAAGCAGAATATATGTTTGTGTAGGGCGGCAAGTGGGTGGAAGAAGAGTCATGTATATGTGATTGTCTTAATTTAGAAGCCTGAGATCCAAAACCTTGGAACTTTGAATTCTTTACTTTGTATTTAACATAGTTACCTATAGCAGTATCTGATTGTGTTCTGCCAATAGTGGTCTTGTTTTAAAGGTCATAAAAGCTAAACAGTTTTTTTTTTTTAGGCAGGGCTGATAGGCTATTAGATTAAGCTCAGATCTCTAAAGACCTTCATTCTTGCCAATCTGTGTGAACTGTTGAGAAAAATGATGTTACTGGCAGCTACATCAACCAACAGGTTAGAGAGAATTATACTTGGAAATTTGAAAATATTAGAGTATTTTCTGTGTAAGTATGAAAGAATCAAGCTGATGCCTGAGCTTACCTCTTTCAAAGCTCTGTAATAACTTTCTGGCTATTGACATTATTGTCACTGATACCCTTGTTCATATTTGAAGCCTACTAAAGATATTTTTTGGGTGAACCTTGAGTGGACCTGTCATACATTGTCTAGCTCACAATCAGTTTATAAATAAGCTACTTGGTTTGTGTGCTTTTACCTAGATCTGCTCAGTGATATTACTGCAATTCTTCTCATCTTTTTTATGTAATTATATATTTGAAATTTTACTTTAGACATGTTGTTTTGTGTTACCTTTTAAGTATCCAAACGACTTCATATTTTGAGTTTAAAGTATTGCATAGACTTTGGCTGTTATTTAGCTCAGTTTGTCTTATCAGATCCAGTCTCACTTCTGACTCTGCTGTATTACTTGCAACTACTATATATGACTTTGGACAAGTCATGAAATCTTTAGTTCTTTCACATGCAATATATGGATAGTAACTACCTCATGGGAAGTTGTATTGATTCACTATGATGATCATACAACACATGTGAATTGTTTACCTAGTGCCTGGTATCCAGAAGGCACTTAATAAATAGTAGTGCTTATGATTTTATTTCTTAAACTTTAATATTAAAAAGTAAATTCCCTGTAGTAAAATCTTGAATTACAGATTTTTATCTTATTTACAGATGTACTGTCTATTAGTGACAACTTTCTTTGGCTTTTGTGGTAATCTGTCCTTGAGCATGTATCCCTGATAGGATTTTGAGGCTGGGCTGGTTCAGAACCACAAGTCCTAGTAGTCTTATAAACTAGAATTTAGTGTATGTGCTACCGAAGTGAGAACTAGACTTACTAACTAGAAAGCGAAGCAGTGAAAACATAAGTTAGCCTCATCCTATACCTTATTTATCACTGTCCCTTCACTTAACGTTCCTCAGTGAGTACTGAGCACATTGTAGGTCAACAGTCTGAGAAGATCCGGGTCACTCTGTAAGCTTTCTTCAGTCAAATCTTTTTTGCTTTCTTGTTTTCATCTTCTTGTTTTAATCTTCTCAGGTTGTTTTATTATCTCAGCTTTATCCATGCAGATTTCCTAGCAGAAATATAAACATTTCTTGAAGATGTATGTAATAAACAGTTACCTTTTTTCTTTTCTTTTCTTGTTTGAGACAGGGTCTCTCTGTGTAGTTCAGGTTGGCCTTGAACTCACTATGTAGTCCAGATTGGCCTTGAACTTGGGGCAATCCTCCTGCCTCAGTCTCCTGAGTGCAGGGATTAGACGTGGGCCACTATGCCCATCTTACCTTCTTTTCTGAAGTATTTTTCAAGGAAATGACAAAAATACCTTTTCCCCATATTTCCTACTTTCCTTTTCCTTTTTTTTTTTTTTCCTTTCCTTTATAGTTGTTTCATTGATGTTGATGTTACTGTCTCAGTTTCAGTTAGCAGGTTATTTTCATTACATTCCTGCCTTGTATATAAACAAAATAATTTCATACTTTTAATTATCTTCCTCTGCTAATATCAGTGAGAAGTCTTTAGTTTATTACTCTAAAGTAACAATAGGAAGGGTTTAGAGATAACTTGGTATCATAACTATTTGGGAATTTAAAATATATGTATATATTCACTTTGGAAATTATGTTCAAATGAAGAATGATATAACACATGTGTGTTGTGGAAAAAGTGTCCCATGAGATTCTGATACCTACTGCCTCTTCCACATCCTTCTTGTCTTACGCGAGCTTTATTTCTCTTGATTTGCACAGCATTTTTCTACACATTGTCTTATATTTCTGAAAGAGCTTATTCCCTTTTTCTTATCAATTGTCATTTTACCACTACCCAGTAAAAATGTTCCTAATATATTGTACTATTTTATCAGTGAAAGCAGGTAATAGATTGAGTGATTTTCTCAAGTTAGCATTACAAAAGGATAGATATTATTTTTACACAGAGTGTGGTGTGTTAAATTCAATTTAGTGATTTTTTTAAATTAAAAGTTGTTCAGAAACAATATTTATTTTATAAACAATGCTTTTTGTAATTTTTTATGTAGAAGGATGTTTTCTTCTGTGACAGGATCTCAGTGTGTAGTCCAGGCTGGCCTCAAATTCATGGCAGTCCTCCTGCTTTAACCTCCCAGCTACTGAGATTACAGGCATGCACCACCACATCTGGCTACACATAGAAGTTTTTTTTTGTTTGTTTGTTTTTGTTTTTGTTTTTCTCCGGTACCGGGAACCGAACTCACGACCTTGCGCTTGCCAGGCAGGCGCTTTTGCCGCTGAGCTAAATCCCCAGCCCCCACATAGAAGTTTTAAAAGGATTTTTAAAATTACCTATTGCATTCCCCTGCCTTCTAATTATCTAGAAATGTAGCCCTTTCTCTCTTCCTCCCTCCCTCCGTCCTTTCCTCCTTTCTTCCCTCCTTCCTTTCCTCCCTCCCTCTCTTTTTCCTTTCTTTTCTTTTTTCTTTGCTTCCTTCCTTCCTTGCTTCCTTTCTTTTTTTCTTCCCTTCCCTTCCCCTTCCCTTTCCCTTCCCTTCCCCTTCCCTTCTCCTTCCCCTTCTTTCTTCCCTTTCCTTCCTTCCTTTCTTTCTTTCTTTCTTTCCTTTCTTTCCTTTCTTTCCTTTCTTTCCTTTCTTTCCTTTCTTTCATACCGAAGATCAAACCCAGGGCCTCTTCCGTACTAGCTAGGCGCACTGAGCTACATCCCCATTCATTGTTTGTTTAGCATCTGCAATTAACTCAAAATTATTAGCATAT